ATTATTTTCTTCTAATATTTACAGTGCAGCAGAAGGACAGACCATTCCAATCGTTCTTGTATAACTGACCAGGAGAGTTTGAAGTTTAAATGGGAATGAAACTGGTCAGTGCTGTTCTGGAGGATTCTGCACTATGCCAAGGCACAGTGTAATGGAGAGGACTGAGAAAATGCATGCAGTAGAAGTCGAGTAAGGAGCATCTGGGTGTTGAAATCTCAGCAGCAAGAAATATTGGGAAATATGCTGCTTTAAGTTGCAGCTGATGTGAGGGTTTTTGCACTGTTCATTAACTTTAAACTTTATAGACCCCCGGGAAAAGAAAGACAAAGAAATGAAGTTCTCTTGCAAATAGTTGCCTTAAAGGACTCGAATTACAGAATTTAGCAAGACATGGTTGGGGATCATTAGATATATTTGCACGTCACAGAGATACTTCCATCCCTCCTCCTGCAATCGCCATCAATTTTAGCTGAAATTCAGTTATCGAAACGATATTAGAGACAAAGAAAAACTGCAGATGCTGGAATCCAAGGTAGGCAAATGGGAGCTGAAAGAACACAGCAGGTCAGGCAGCATCTGGAGGAAAGGAGCAGTCAGCAAGCAGCAGGACTCCTGAAGAAGGGTAATACCCAAAACGTTGACTGCTCCTTTCCTCCGGTTGCTGCCTGGCCTGCTGTGTTCTTCCAGTCTCCTGTTTATTGAAACCATATGATAGGCTCAGATCTAAAGTGTAGTCAAATTAAAAGTATGACTTGGTACCGGAACTGGGGATTCTTCTTTGTGTATGATGTTAAGCCCAGGTGCATCAGTGGCTTGCTTTCTGACGTAGGACTTTCAGCACATACTTCAGTGTTTCAGATAGTGCCTTTGTCATTATGCTGCTACTCTAGGATTAAAATCTCCTTGACTAGCTTCCCCCTGACCAAGGGCTTATATTTTACTGGAAGGCATACAGTACAATTGACAGTGGCAGTGCTAGATCTGGTTGAGCTTTTGATTTGGTAACTGTTCAGGGTGGACTGTATGACACACCCAGGGATATTAACTGCATTGCTGCAGCATCCTTCCTGTCTCACAGAGTCCAATTTTCCTGTGACATCTTGACTCTAAAAATGGTGTGCCTCTAAAAGGTGAACTTTTTTAAGAAGGATCATGGGAGTAGGACAGAGAGGAGCAGTCTTCCATTGGCAGCCCTGATAACAATGCTGCTACAGGTACCTTACCAGAAAGGTCTTGTACTTGACACAGCTGTCTGCTTTTGGTGGATTTTCACACATAGCTTTATGGGAAGAGTTCCCCCAAAAATGGAATCATTTCCACATGCTGCCATTTTAATCAATTTCTGTTCTACTGAACTAATAGATATTGACATCCCTTTAAACTTGAACACTAACCTAGATTTTAAAGCATTACAAAGGGCTGAGCTTACTATTTGAAGCCCACCTTAAACTGCAGCGATTACTTTCTTTGGGAACTGTAAAAGGCCTCGAATTTTAGAGTGGATTTTTGTTGAATCATGTGGACATTACACTACATCCTCACCCTAGGTTAATCTTCGTGTAATTATTAAATATGCCCTTTTCCCTACCCATCCTTAAGACTATTTTGTCATAATGCAGGATTAAAATAATAGAAATCTAATTGAAATATTCAATTTGATTGATGTGCTTATAAGCTGCTTTAACAATTTAAATCACTATTTTGCACCGGGGCATGGGAGAAGTCATTCTCTGTTTCTGAACTGCAGATTTTAGAAGAATCATTACTATATTTAATGGTAAGTAACAGCAGAGCAAAATTTGTTTGCAAGTGCACTGTTAAGTCTCGAACTATATTTTGTCACAGAATTTAACGTGCAGTATTTGTCATTGTACAGAGATGAGGAGGAAAATGTCAGTGAAGCATCGCAGTATTTTTAATATGCTCTTATCGGATACAGAGTTTAAAAAATTAAATAAAAAGTTGGTTATTGTAAAGACATAGGACTTTTTAATATTCAATGTTTTGATACTTTTGAAATCTGCCTATTTTGCTCATCAAGACTGCACCTTCAAGCAATAGCAATCTTTGGGATGGGCATCCTGATACTTATTTTCAGTGTTGATAATTCAGCCAACTTTTAATTGGAATTTGTGTTCTAACATAGGAGCCCTCAGCTGTTCATTAGCATGTAAACCTGCTCATTCTCTCAGATACAGCAATGCAGCGTGGTGTAATGGGATGCTAGTCTGTTGTTATAGGATCCAACGGCAATGACAGCAAACTTTGTTCCAAGTTTGCAATTCAGGACAAAACCATGATCAAAGGGGGTTTATGGGATCCTTTGCACAAAACAGTACAATGTGAATCATCCATTTCAGCTGTTACTTTTCCTTCAGATTCTAGAATTTAATTTGTATGGTATTCTCATCTTCCATTATATGTTTTTTAGTCGCACGCTAAATGGACTTCAACCAGAGGGAGGGAGTAGTTAGATTCTGTGCTTCCTTTTGCAGCCTTCATCACTTCATTGTACTTTTTAATTCCCTGCAGTACATAATCCTTCCATTTTATTTAACAATTCTAAAACAGAATTGGATGAAATTATCTCTAATATAAAAAAAAAAGTTTTTTTTTTGCGAAGGCTATTGGCTATCACAAAGCAAGAGAAACCTGTGCAGGTAAATGATATATCCAAGTGCAATCTGTCAAAACTGCAGCTGAGAGAGTCTCAATTGACACATCTGAGGATTTCCTTGCTTTTTCAGAGGCACTGCCTGTGGTTGTCACATTGCTGCCACAAGTATTCTTTTAAAAAATATTTGAAGTGCTAGTACTAATTGCAAAAACTTCTGGAATCCATCCGGTTAATGTTGAGGCTGTTACATCATTCCATTCATTATGGAAATACTTCAAGCAGGCATCCTCTGGTTTGCCAAGTTCCTGAGGCTATATTGAGTAAAGGTTCGGTCTCCAGCTGTGTTCATGGAGGAATTTTTTTAAAATTAATTTAAAGACTGTTGTTCAGAGTTTGAGAAACGTGAACAAGGTTAGCATTGTATTGGAGCCTTTTAACCCTTTGTTGACATCCTTATTTCACAGTGAATGTTACTTTTGCTGTACAAAATGAAATCATGGGTGAATTGATTCATAAGCTTCATTTAGGTAAGCTATAATTACAATGAAATCTTGCACCTTATCCCTAATATCCCTTCCTCCAAAGGACCACAGATGAGGGGGGAAAAAACACTGCTTCATACTGTAGTTATTCCGCTATCTTGTGGAGAGATTTCATTTGAAGCGAGATTATACTGATATAGACAGCTGCGTGGTACTGCCTCATTCAGGTAGTGTTGTACAGCTTGTTGAATAGGGGAAATGCTACAGATAATATTTGTTGGATATAAGGCCAAAATTTAGCTTGGCCCATTTAGTAAAGCATTAGGTTTAAGAAAAAAATTAAAATCAAATTTGTGTATCAGTCATAAGTATGTTAATTCTATATTTTACTACATAAACACGTCTTAGTTATCTTGTGTACATAGCATTAATGTAGAATGTTGTAGTCTTGTGGTTTAAAGGAAGATTATGTCCATAGGTGCTACAATTACCAGTCTATATCTGTCATTTATGTATTGCATAGTGTATAGTGTAGTCAGGATTTGCTGTCTAATTCCTGAAGAAATAAATTCTTTCATTATAATAAAAGCATGGTTTACACCTTTGTATTCTTAAAAATTGTTGTCAACCAACTTGGAACTTAGCACAATTTGCACATTTTTCCTGTAATTCACACGCCTTTCATTTGTCCTTTCAGAGGAGCTTGAAACTATAGAATTCTTCACTTCCCTCAGTCTTTTTGTCCTTCCTTCAATGCTTTTAAAACCCAAGCCAGGTATGTACCAATTATGAAAGCAAAGTCTTGCAAATTCTGGGAATTTGAAATAGAAAAAGCTGAAAGTAACCAGCAGGTCAGGCAATCTCAGTGGAGAGAGAATTAAAGTAAATGTGCCATGCCTGTGACCTTGCATCAGAACTGGAAGCAGGTTTTACTCACTTGCAAAGCCTGGGAAGAAGAAGGTGAAGAAAGAACAAAATGGAAGGACAGACACAGGAGAAATTAAATGGCAATGGGGTTATTAGTGTAAAGAGAGAAGGTGATAAAAGTTGTAGTAAATGGAATTAGGTTAATTATTAACACCGACTTTCCAAAACAAAATGGGGTTAGTTGTTAGGGTGAGAAATTGTTGAACTCGATGAACATTCAAATCAGGAGTAGGCCATTTAGTAACTGATCTGGTTGTAACGCAAAGTTCACACAGCTACCTTGCCTTTCAACCCTTTCCTGACCAAGAATCTATCTATTTCTGTCTTAAAATATTCAAGGATTCTGCTTCCACCAGCTTTTCAGAAAGAGTTCCAAAGACTGTCAACTCTGAGAAAAAAATTCACCTCATCTCTGTTTTAAATGGGTGACCCTGATTTTTAAATAGTGACACCATCTTGCTCTAGATTCTCCCATGAGAGGAAACATATGCTTCCTTTCTACACTTTCAAGACCCCTTAGGATTTCATTCATTTCAGTCGTCGTTTATTTTCCTGAACTCCGATGGACACATGCCTAGCCTGTCTCACATTTCCTCATAAATAAACCTGTCCATTTCAGGTATGAGTCTAGCAAACCTTCTCTGAACTGCTTTGATGCATGTATGTCCTTCCTGAAAAAAGGTGACTATTACAGGGTGCACTATACTCTAGATGCAGTTTCCTGTGGAACTGGGGCCTAACCTCCCTGTTTTTCTATTCCATTCCTCTCAGGATGAATGACAATATTTCGTCAGTTTTCCTAATGACTTGCTGTACCTGCACTAACTTTACACGCAAGAGGGGACCCAGATCCCTCTATCGTGGAACTCTGCAATCTTCACTGTTGAGATATTATACTTTTTTTCACTCTTTCTGCTAATTTCACATTTAAAAATTGCGTCTGGAAGACTATAAAGTACCAAAAGGAAAGCTGAAGTGCCATATTTTAGGATTCTTTTATTTGGACTAGCTTGGTGAAGCCATTAAGTAGGAGTGGAATTAAAAATTAAAATGACAAACATCTTTACTAAGAACCTAAGGGTTATGACTGAAATAATAGAGTTGTTTAACAATTCACTTAATCTACTTCTGGTCTCCCCCGACTAGAGGAATTTTGAGCCGCAAACACAGTACCAATGAGTCGTTGTTTAGCCCTGACTATCTTCATTGCAGGCTGTAATGTTGCCACGAGATTTGAAAGTTTTTTTCCGATTTTGTCGATATTTCTCATCAAGATTTTTCTATCCTTGAATTTCGCTGCCTCTCTCTAGCAGTGAATGCTTGATAACGAATATATTCACGTTTAGAAATGAGTCCTCGAGGACACAGCAGTTGTCATTGCCACACTCCTATACTGCAATCTGTGATTTGTGTGCGAGAATAATTCCACCAAAAATGCCTCTGCTGCCTTCCCCAGATTCAGTCGGAGGACTGGCAAATAAATGCAAATATCTGTCTTGATGCCTAGCTGTACAAGAATTCGGTCAAATCTGCAAAATGAACTTCAATGGATTGTGTCTGGATGGCCAAAAGCTATAGCTGCTGCCAGGTCTCCTCTCAACTGTCAAAGAGCCAACGTACTGGATGAGAACAAAATAAAAAGCTTCAAAGACACCGAGGTTCTCCTTGAAGTTTGGTAGCATTGATGCTAATGACTGGGTGCAGCCCACTACCAATCGTGCAAAACAGCAACAACATGTCTGTCAAGCCTCAACAAAGCTTTGAAGCCAAACGTCTTAACAATGAGACCGAGCAGCAGCATAGAGGGAAAGTAAAGCAAATCATACCCTCAGGATCCCATTACATCAAGTCATCCTGCCTGTGTGGCCCCAAAGATCTACCAATCAAGGCTTGAGTCACATGAAGACCCTGGCAGAAACCCACGACCCCTGAGTCGTCATCGTGCTGAAATCAAGGGACATTCTGATTATTAGTGGGAATGGAGGAGGTGGCAGTGTAAGTGTAACTTGTCCTGCACTTGCCTGGTCCTCCAGGAAGGTTGTGGTGAGTCCTTGGGCTATTCGGTGGGGAGAGAAATATTTTGAGGGATTGGATGCCAGTGGTGAAAAGAAAATTAATAAAAGTAGCTGAATTATATACATTCTGTATCACAAATATATTTTAAACTGCTACTGATCTGAAAGGTTTGCAAAATAATTATATTCTTCATCACTGTGAAACTTCTATTATACATATCATTTAATAAATAGGATTAAGTGGTTTTAGAGAGTAGTTTATTCAATAGTGGAACATTTTTACCTTTGTTTTTAGATAAGCAATCATTTCTAAAATGTCTTAACTAATTTTTTTAGAAAAAATACATTATTCCAATTATCCATTATTCAGATACAAATAACCTGTTTCAAAATACCTTGAGCCCTTTCCGTTTCAACCCAATCACTATTATTCCTATTACAGTAGTATTGGCCTTATAACTTGCTCATTCGTAAAATATTTAGTCTGACTGGGAGGAAGGTTGCTGTTGAAGCATATGGGATCTCTCTGAGAATACCAAACCATTCCTTCTTGTCGTCATCGTACCTAAAATCAGAAAATAAAGATATCTTATAGTGGAGAAGTAGACTGTTTGATCCATTGTACTTACTTTTTGGAAGTAGCTAACAGTTCCTCCCCTCCTCTGCTCTTTTGCCATTACTCTGCGAACTTTCTCCTATCAATCTTAATTATTTCCAATATAAAAGGGTGGTGAGACATTATACAGGATTCTGGTCAGATACCTCTCCATAGCTATACAATCACCTAATTTGCTGTTTTCAGTGTGATTAGTTCACCATTTAGAGGGGACACTTCTCAGTGATGTGCAACATTGTTTGTGTCTGTCCACAAATGTATAACGGATTTGTGCTGTGACCCCTACAGTGCAGATAGGCTGCACACTAGCCCTCAGCTTATCCTGAACCTGTTTAGCTGGGATCACAGTCACTGTGGCAGTTCAAAACCTGACAGTGCACACCTGGGGCTTTTCACCATGAGTTTGTTCATGACTTCCCGTGTTTCCCAGCCCTTAATCCAAAGGATGTCTGTTGTCGATGTTAGATTTGATAACCAGAGCCTACGGAAAATCATCTTGCCCTAGAGGTACAGCAATGCAGAGATGTGAGGTTGATTTGTTAACTCTAACTTAGGAACAGGGTAACCCCCTGTATCCGCTCTAAGTCAATTCCACCATTCGATTCAGTCGAGACTGACCTGCAATCTAACTTTGCAGAAGAGGCTGAGTGGCCTACTTTATGTTCCTAACTACCTTTTGACTAATAAAATTCTACCAAACTAAAATAAACAAATTGATTAAATGAGTCCTGAGGAGAAAGGCATGCTTTGTTGAAGTTTTATATCTTGTATTCATCAGAACAATTTGGCATTCTTGCAAATGTAAACGGGAAAATCGATTAACTGCTTTGTGTAATAGACTTCCTTCACATTTTCTTTGTCTCTTCTGGTTCTACTTTTTAAACCATGTCGCTTAGTCCTGGACTCTCCAATCAAAGGAAATATTTTCTTGCTACTCTGTCTGTATCCCTTAATATCCTAACTTCAAACCACCTCTTAACCTCTTTAATTCCAGGGAAAGAGAATGAATGGATTAAGTCACCAGGAAGAAACGAAGAAATTCGGTTTTGAAACTGTCTTTGAAAGAAGATATATAGAAATAGTGATATAGATAGATTTGTAAAAGTAATAATAACTATTAAACCAGAGCCATGGGTTCAGAAAGCAACTAACAAAATGAACGCTAGGAGCTGACAAACAGAATTTCTTCAGGGAGAAAACAGTAGTGTTGGGTAGGAGTAATAAACATGAAAGCTTATTTAGGAAACGGTGTGTGGTGAAGGAATTTGAGTTCAAGATATCTGAACTAAATATGGGTCATAACTACAACAGTCATCAGTTCATCTAGTTAGGAATTCAGGGGACAGGTCTTCACCCAGAGAGTGGTTAGAATGTGGAACTCATCACTACAGAGAATTGAGGTGAAAAGTAGGTTCACTTAACAGGAAGTGAAATAAATGCATGAAGGAGAAAGGAATAGAAGATTAATTCATGGGTTTAGATAAATCGTGGAGCATGAAAGCTCGTATGTAGCATAAACAGTGGCATAGACCTCTTAGATCAAGTAGCGATATACCCTGTCTCTGTGACCTAGGGATTAGTGAGAAAAGATTAGACTGCTTGCACTTGCACCCTTTGAACTTTAGAAGAATGGGATGTGATCTTATTGAAACATATAAAAACCTAAGAGGGTTGAATACTGAAAGGATGTTTCCTGTTTTGGGGGAAGTCAAGAACAAGAGACAATTTTATTTTTGAAAAAGGGTATCCTATTTAAGATGGAGATTAGTAGGTTTCTTTCCTCAAAGGTTCATGTGTGGCATTTCCTTCACAAAGAGGGTGGTCGAGTCGGGGTCCTTGAATATTTTTAACAGGGTGGTAGATGGATTTGTGTCTAACAAGGAGCAGGCCCAAAATGGATCTGAGGCCTCAACCAGATTAACCATGATCTTATTGAATGGCAGAGAAGACGAAGGAACAAATGCCTAATTTTATGTTCCATCCCCAGTAGCACTTGATGGTAAGCTGTCTTTGAACCATCACAAGGGAAGTCTATAGGAGGTGCTGGCTATTTTATTTCTTTTACTGTGGCTTCTCTTCACTCAGTTTGTCAAAGAGTCAACCTCACCTCCACACTCATCAATTAGTCAGTTTCAAAGGACGTGAAATTTCAAAAGGGAAAGTGCTACATCAAGGGACTTGGGGAGGTCTTTTTCTGAACCAGTGACTGGACCCTGGTTTAGGGAGTCTTTGGGACAGAAATGTTTATTAAGTTACAATGTGTGATGGTTGAAACTTACTTCCAAATGTCATTGATTTCAGTTGGGACAAAATCTCCAGATTCAGTTTGTACCATAGTAAATCCACCAATGGCGTACAGACAATTAGACAAGGTGACGAGGCTCAGAGAGCTACGTTCCTGAGGGAACTCTGCCATCTCTTCCCACCTGCAGCACAGAGAAATGACCAGTTAGACAGGAAGCAGCACAATGCCCAGAAGATGCCATAGCTCTTTACGAATCAACCACAGTGCCAATAGAGGTCTAAAGACGTCTTGTCTGCAGAGCCCAGCAGAGCATTTGCACTGAGCTGGGGTCAGAAATAAGACTTCTTTCTATCCCTTCACTGTGTTTCCTCATCTGAGCCAGGCCTGCTTTAAGGATAGTTCTGCTTGGTTCTTTTTGGGCAATGGTTAGAATCATACAGAAGAGGCCCTTCAGACCATCAAGTCTGTACTGCCAAAAATGTACTACAACCTCACTAGTCCCACTTTTCCACAATAGGCCTATTGCCTTGAATGTTATGACATTTCAATTTTCTATCCATGTACTTTTTAAAGATTGTGAGATTTCCTTCATCAACTACCCTCCCAGTCAGTGCATTCCAGACTGCCATCATTGGATGGAAAAGTTTATCCTGAAATCCTCTCCCAACCTCCAGCCTTCCACTTCAAAAGTGTGCCCCTTGTTATTGACCTTTTGACAAAGGGGGAACAGCTGTTTCCTATCCACTCTGTCCATGCCCCTCAATCTTTTACACCATATCCTCCCTCAACCCTCAGCTGACTGGTCAGCCGGTAGCCTCAGGCTGAGCAGATCAAGGCTTCAAGTCCCATTCCTGAGACCTGCGGACTGAGTCCAGACTGATGTTCCAGTGAACTCCTGAGGGAGCTCTGCACTTCACTGACAAGATCTGAAACTGTATATCCCATCAGCTGGCCAAAGATTTCAGTATTATTTCAAAGAGCTGGAGTGTTTCACCCTTTATGCCTCTATCCAGTATTTATCCCTCAATGAATGTTACTAAATGACCAAATAATTTGCCTTCTGTTTTTGTACATTGCTGTTGGTAGGAGCTTGATGAACTATTGATTGCTGATTATGGGGAGAAGGGGATTGAGAAACTTATCAGCCTTCATCGAATAGTGGAGCAGTGTGACGGGCCAAGTGACCTAGTTCTGCTCCTGTATCTTGTGGTCGTTATGGCACCTGATTTTCTTTATTACAACAGTGATGACAATTCCAAAGTGGCTTTCTATCTTCTTTGACCATAAAATATAGGAGCAGAATTAGGCCATTTGACCTATTGCATTTGCTTTAGCATTCAAACATGGGTAATATGTTTCTCAACCCCATTCTTCTGCCTTCTCCTATAACCTTTGATCCCTTACCATTCAAGAACTTATTAAACCTGTCTTAGATACACTCAATGACTTGGTCTCCATAGCGCTCTGCAGCAATGAGTTCCACAGATTCACTACTCTCTGAAGAAATTTCTCCTCAACTCAGTTCTAAATGGTGGTCCCTTCACTGAAGCTGTGCCCTTGGATCCTAGTCTCTCGTACTAGTGGAAATATCTTCTCCACATCCACTATCTAGGCCTCTCAGTACTCTAAGTTTCAGTCAGATCCCCCTGTCCTTTTAAATTCCATTGAGTACAGACCCAGGGTCCTCATATGACGAGCCCTTTGTCCTCTGCTGTTGTATTCTAGCCCTCTTAAAATGAGTGTTAACATTTATATTTGTCTTCTAACTGCCAAAGTGAACCTGCATGTTAACCTTAAGATAGTCCTAAATTAGGACTCCCAAGTCCCTTTGTGCTACAGGTTTCTAAAGCCTTTCCCCATTCATAAAATAGTCTATGCCTTTATTCTTCCCACCAAAATGCATAATCTTACATTTTCCCACACTGTATTCCATTTGCCACTTCTTTGCCCACTTTCCTAGCCTGTCCAGGTCTTTCTGCTGCCTCCCAGTTTTCAACATTACCTGTCCTTCCTTCTATCCTTGTATCATCTACAAATTTAGCAAGAATGCCCTCAGTCCCTTCGTCCAGATAGTTATTGTACAATGTGAATATCTGTGGTCCCAACACTGACCCCTGTGGAGCTCCACTAGTCACTGGCTGCCATCCTGAAAAAGACCCTTTATCCCCACTCTGTCTTCTTCCAGTCAGCCAATCCTCTATCCATGCTAGTATCTTGCCCCTAACACCATAAGCTCTTATTTAACAGCTTCCTGTGCAGGACCTTGTCAAAAGCTTTCGGAAATCCAATTAGATCATGTCCACTGGCTCTCCTTTGTCTAACTTGTTCACTACCATCTCAAAGAATTCTAACAGATTTGTCAAACATGACCTCCTCTTGACGAAGCCGTGCTGACCCCACCCTATTTTACCATGCACTTCCAAATACTCCACAATGTCATCCTTAATAATGGACTCTAAAATCTTACCAACAACTGGGGTAAGGCTAACTGGCCTATAGTTTCCTGTCTTCTACCTCTTGCCCTTCTTAAACATGGGTGTTACATTAGCCATTTTCCAGTCCTCTGGGACCCTCCCTGTCTCCAGTGATGCCTAAAAAATCACCAGCAATGCCTCCACAATCTCCTCAGCAACCTCCTTCAGAACTTTGGGGTGTGATTTATCCACCTGAGATCTTTCAGCTTCCCCAACAAATTCTCCTTAGTGATGGCCACTACACTCACCTCTGCCCCCTGACTTAGATTCTGAAATGTTGCTGATATCTTCCACTGTGAAAACTGATGCATAGTACCCATTCAGTTTCTTTGCCATTTCTTTGTTCCCCATTATTACTTCTCTAGCTTGATTTTCCAGCGGTCCAATGTCCATTCTTGCCTCTCTCTTACCTTTTATTAGACATCTAAAAATACTCTTGCAGTTTTCTTTAATATTACTAGCTAGCTTACTCTCAAATTTCATCTTCTCACCGCCCCCCACCATTGCTTTTTAAATTATTCTCTGCTGGTTTTTAAAGGCTCCTCCGGCTTCCCACTAATATTCACCACATTGTACACTCTTTCTTTTGCTTTTATCTGTCCCTGACTTCCCCTGTCAGCCATAGTTACCTCGCTCCCTCCGCCCCCCCACCCCACTTTTAGTATGTTCCTTCTTCCTTGGGATGAATTTCTGCTGCGCCTTGCAAATTAGCCCCAGAAACTCCTGCTAGGCTCCCCCTTCCAATGAATCTGCCCAAATCCACTGTCATGTCTGTGTAGTTACCTCTCAAACTTGTTGAATGTCTCAGAGTGAATCTTTTGCAGTAATCTATTGCTTCCCTGTACAGCCTTTGACTTCATATATGCATGACATTGCAATCTCTGTGGAGTGCTGCTTTGATGAATGATAGATTGTACTCTACAGGGGAAAGTACAGGATCATGCACAAAGGTGGCTATAGTGATTTCCCGGGCTGAGTTAGCCTGGAGTGTGTTACCTGAGTAAAGCAATACAGCATGCACAGACAGAAGGCATGCTACTGTGACATCATCATCTTGGCCAAGTGCTATCATTCAGGAGAAGACCCTCTTACTTGTTTGCAGCTATGTCATACACCTCGATGCTTCCAGTCAGTCCGCTGTCCGTGACTCCTGTGGCTACCCAGATTTTATCTCGATAGACCGCTGCTCCAAACAAAGAGCGGGCAATCTTCATGGGAGCCAACTCCTTCCATTCGAACCTCTGGGGGTTATACACCGACACTTTGTTCAAGCACTTCCTGAGATTAGTAAGTGGTGAGTGTGAATGTTGTGACATTCAGGAAATAGACGTTCTTACATTCAAGATACTCTAAAATATCAGTTGCATTCAATACTGCCTAGCAATAAGGAGTAGGATTGCTTATAAAGTTTCAAGAAGTCACACAATAGGTCAAGAATAACGGAACTGTAAGTTCAATCAGTTTGTAGAATCTGTACAGTGTGGAATTTGACCCATGAAGTCCACACTAAGAGCATCCCACCCAGACCCACTCACTCTACCCTATCCCTATAACCCTGCATTTCCCATGGCTAACCCTCCCAGCCTGTACATCCCTGGACACTATAGGCAATTTAGCATGGCCAATCCAGCTAACCTGCACATTTTTGGACAGTGGGAGGAAACCGGAGCACCCGGAGGAAACCCATGCGCACACGGAGAATGTGCGAACTCGACACAGATAGTCACCTGAGGCTGGAACTGAACCCGGGTCCCTGGTGCTGTGAGGCAGCAGTACTAACCACTGCACTGCTGTTGGATGGAGGCAGTCAGAGGGGATCATTGTTAGCCTCAGGCTGCTAAACAGTCAGGTACTTAACAGCAGGGTGCCACTACATCATAGGGTTAAAGCTCAGGGAAAAACCATGGGAGTTGTATGGCTTGGAAGCAGCCATGGGCCGTTAACAGTTCAGTACAGCTGAGCACACGAGTGAAAGAAGCCCAGAAGCAGTGTTTACTTGGTGCAGCTGAGCAAGATTAGGCTGCAGAGAAATGCAGGTACAGAACGAGCATGGGGAAACATACTTTCTATAAAAAGCTGAAATTGTACTTTTGATTACACTTTCCACAATCTAACGGAGTGCTATTTCTGATTACAGAGTAACCTACCGAAAAGTGAGTCATTATTGAGGCAATCCATGATAGTGCATCTTTTGAGAGAATTCCGAAACTAGGACGTCAAAAGAGAATAAGTAGGAATCCCTTGTAAAGGAAGATTGGATCACTCATAATGTCTGGTGATTGCTGGGGACAATGCTGAGAAATCCACGGCATCTGACTTGTCCATATTTGTTCAAGGGTTTATATATTGCCATATTTACCTCCGGTTAATTCTGGACATTGGAAATAAGTTGTGCGTGTGTGTGTGTGTGTGTGTACATATTGTAGATTGTACTACTGTTATAACTTTGTTTAGTTAAAATTTATCATGATTTGTTTAAAACCTTGGAATCGTTTGCCTTTATTCTCTTCATAGATACCTATGATCTTGCTTTGTCAAGTTTTAAAAAAGGGTTCCGGGTCCCTAGCCAGAATGTAACTAAAAGATTTGGTATTCTAGTCTGGGATCGTAAGTGTTGCAAATCATGTCCATTATTTGAGTGCAGAAATAGATTCAACCAGACCTCAGATTACCTTTGTTATTTGAAAGAAATAATTCACGAATGGAAATACTTACTTATCTTTTCCTTTGCCTCCTATTACGTACACCCGTTCGTTGTGAGACACCACAGAATGGCCGTATACTTCGTATGGAAGTGGATCTGATTCTCCCCATTTAAATGTGCTATAAATAGAAAGATTGTTTTGAAAACGATGCATCAGAAAACTGCCTTGAACAAACTCTTCTGGGTAAAGTCCTCAGTATTTACACAAGTCTCTCAGAGTTTGAGGATGTCTCAAGTAGGGTTGTAGATGTAGTGTATTTGGATTTTGCAAATCCATTCAGTAAGGTGCCACATTGAGGAGGCACTGGCCTCGTGGTATTATCACTAGACTATTAACCCGGAGATCCAGATAGTGTTCTGAGGAACCTGGTTCAAATCCCACCATGGCAGATGGTAGAATTTTAATCCAATAACAGTCTGGAATTAAGAGTGTAACGATGACAATGAATCCATTGTTGGAAAAACCCATTTGGTTCACTTTGGTTCCTTTAGGGAAAGAAACTGCCATCTTTGCTGTGGGTCTGCAGTCACATGTAGGCAAGACCAGGTAATGTGGTTGACACTTAACTGCCCCTGGGTAATTAGGGTTGGGGAATAAATGCAGATCTGGCCAGTGACGCCCGCATCCCATAAATTATTTTTAAGAAAAATACAGGCAACAACTCCAAAAGACGAGTTTTGAGAGTACTGGATAAAGGGCTTGCTAACTAACAGGCAACAGAATTGGGATAAATATGTTATTTTAGGTTGGCAGACTGTAGCTACTGAAATGTTTCAGGGATCAGCACTGGTGCTCTGTTAATAACAATCAATATTAACGACTTGGAAGAAAGGACAAGGGTGCATTGTAGCCTCATTTGTTAATGATACAAAGATAAGCTGGAAAGCAAGATAGACACAGGAGGCTAGAAGAACACAACAAACAAGGCAGCATCTAGAGGAAAGGAGCAGTCAACGTTTCGGGTATTACCCTGCTCCTTTCCTCCAGGTGCTGCCGTGTTCTTCCAGTCTCCTGTTTGTCTACCTTGGATTCCAGCATCTACAGTTTTTTTGTCTCTAAGCTGGAAAGCAAGTTGTGAGGAAGGCACAAATATTCTACAAAAGTGATTTAATTCGGGTAAGTGTTTGGGTGAGTTTCTTGAGTGAAGCATAATGTGGAAAAATGTGAGGTTTTCCACTTTGGCAGGAAGAACGGAAAAACAGAATATTATTTAAAAAGGGAGAGTCTACAGAATGTTGTAATGCAGAGGGATCTGAGTGTCCTTGTACACACAAGTTAGTGTACAGCTACAGCCAGTAATTAGGAAGGCAAATGCAATGTTGACCTTTACTGCAAGGGGAATGGAATATACAAGTAAGGAAGCCTTGCTATAGCTGTAAGGGGCATTGGTGAGACACATAGTTAAGTACACAGTTCTGATGAAGTCACTGGACTCCACGTTAACTCCATTTGTCTGTCCACAAATGCTGCCAGACCTACTGAGTGTCAGCAGCAATTACTGAATTAGTTGGAGTGCTGTATACTGTTTTTGTATCCTCACTAAAGGAAAGATATACCTGCACTGCAGCGGACAGTTCAGGGAAGGTGCAGTGGGTGATTTTTGGCATGGAAGAGTTATCTTATGAATAAATTGCACCTATACTCATTAGAGTTTCGGAGAAGGAGAGGTGATCTTATTGAAACAAGATTCTGAGCAGTTTGGTAGATCGCTACTGAAAAGATGTTTCCTCTCACAGGGAAAGCAAGAACAAGGGGCGCTGTTCCCAAACAAGGGAGTCTCCTATTTAAGACACAGATGAAGACGAATTTAGTCTGAGGGTTGTTGGTCTTTTGAATTCTCTTTCCCAGTAAGTAGTAGAAGCTGGATCACTGAACATCTGCGAGGCTGAGTTTGTGTTGTGATCTGAAAGGGAGTCATATGTTATGAGGGATGGGGGCTCAGGCAGAAAAATGGGGTCAAGGACAAGGTCAGATCTTATTTAATGCTGCAGCAGGCTTTTAAGGGCAGGATGACCCACTTATGCTTGTGTTCTTATGTCTGTATTCCAGACAATCCTGACAGTGCCAGTATTTATAGAGGATTCCCAGGAGAAGCACTGTATTGACTAAGGAGTCACTGGACAAGTGTCTGTATACAGGTTCACTGGGAGGTGTCTCTATTAATATAGAACAACATACCATATAGGAACAGGCCCTTTGGCCCATCATGTCTATGCCAATCTTATGCCATTCTAAACTAATCCCATCTGCCTGCACGTGGTCCATATCCCTCTACTCCTGGCCTGTTCATGTGTCAGTCTAAATGCCTCTTAAACGTGACTGGATTAAACTCCACCTGCCATTTCTCCACTCAATTTTCCAACTGATCTATATCTCACTGTGTCCTTTGACAAACGTCCTCACTATGCACCAATTTTCATGTTGTGACACAGGGTCTCCCAGGAGAGTGTTGATATTTACAGCAGGTCCCCGGGATGAATGTCCATATTGGCAGGGTGTTCCCGGAAGAGCACCTGTATGGACAGGGAATCCCCAGACGAGCATCCGTAGTGACAGGGGTTTTTGGGAGAGTATCTGGTGGAACAGGGGATTTCCAGAAGTGGAATAGTATTTACATGAAGTCTCAGTGAGCTTGTTGAACATTCCTGGAAGTATTTTAGAATCTGTTTTAATCTGTTTGGTTGCTGTTCAGTCTTTCATGTTTTAAATGTGTTCAGAGTTTGCACATTTCACTGGAAGAAGATTGCTTAATGATTTCCGAATCTCTTTCACGTTCCCAAAGAAGCCAAACCGAAACTTCACAGAACAAATTTCTGAAGAATGAAAACTTTGATAAAGTTAACAGGTAGCAGATTCACTCTCAAATGGAAGTCCCTGAGCTTCATTTAAAGTGACCTGTTCACATTGAATTAACAGGTGGCGTTCCCTTCTAACTCAACGAACATCCTGCTGACCAATAATGCACTGCAGGAACTGACAAGTTTATAATGCCTTTATAAACCTACCACAACTTCAGCATGTCCCAGAGTGTTTGTTAGATACATGCTTTTAAATGTGATCATCAGTTTCAGCCTTCCCTCTAATGCAATTATCACATGACCAACACCCCCACCACCCAACACATTAACATGGACAAAGGAACAGGGGTAGGCCATTCAGTCCCTCAAGCCTTTTCTGCCATTCAATGAGACCATGGCTGACCAGTAGCCTTACTCCATCTACCTGCCTTTGGCCCATATCGCTTAAAACATGTGCTTAACAAAATTTATCTCTCTCAGATTTAAAATTAACAACTGATCCCAATATCTACCACCCTTTGTGTGCAGAAATGTCCTAACATCTCTCCTTAACAATCTACCCTAATTCTCCTAGTTCTAGAATCTCCAACCAATGGAAATAGTTTACCTTAACCTACCCTGTCTTTTCCTGCTAATATCTTGAAGACTTTGATCAGATCACTCCTTAACCTTCAGAGAAAACAGGCCTAATTTATATAATTTCTCCTCCTAATCTAGGCCTACTTTCTGCTTTAGTTCTGTGCTGTACTCTGACCATACTTTGGGGCAGCACAGTGGCTCACGCTGCTGCCTCTCAGCACCAGGGACCCAGGTTTGATTCTAACCTCTGGTGACTGCCTGTGTGGGTTTCTGCTGGGTGCTCCGGTTTCCTCCCACAATCCAAAGATGTGCAGGTTAAGTGGGTTGGCCGTGCTAAATTGCCCGTAGTGTCCAGGGGTGTGTAAGTTAGGTGGATTAGCCGTGGGAAGTGTGGGTGGGATGCTTTTCAGAGGAGCAGTGTGGACATGATGGGCTGATTGGCCTGTTTCCACACTGTAGGGATTCTATAATTCTACATGGCCAGGTGTTGGTGAGGGATACATATTGACTAGGTCAGACTCCCTCTGTTCTCACTCAAATAGTGGAATGGAGCCTTTATCTTCCATCTGAGAAGCCCCTTGTGTTACACCCCAAAAAAGCAGCACTTCCTCAGGACTGCACTGGAGTATTTGCCTTGCTAGCTCAAATCCCTGTAGTGGGGCTCTGTTGTTTAGGGTCTGAAAGGGTTAATACTGAAGTGCCATAAGCACCACCCATTATTATGATGTCATATGGACTTGAGTAGAACAGCTTAAGATCTTAAACAAGTAAGACCTTAATATCCATGTCCTCCTCATGGTCTCTGTTATAATGTCTATCGTATCAGTGTGACCTGTGACTAGTCACCAACATGCAATAAATTATTACTCGTTACTCCAGCTTCTTCCAGCTAGTTAATGATGAGGATAGATTAAAGAGTTTGGGACTGTTCTCTGCGTGAGGAACTTTAAAAGAAGGTTTGATTGAGGCTTTCAAAATCATGGGCAGGTTGGACAGAGTCGATAGGGAGAAGCTGTTCCTGCTCGTAAAAGGAAAAGAACGAGAGGGCATAGATTTAAAGTGACGAAGGAACAGGAGAAATGTTTTCACTTAGTGAGCAGTTAGGGTGTAGAATGCACTGCCTGAAAATGTGGTGGAAGCAGGTTCAATGGGGGCATCCAAGAGGGGCACGGATGGTTATAGGGAAAGGAATGGTGTGCAGAGATATGGAGGAAAGACCGGAGACTGGTGTGAGGTAATAGTATAAGTGTACGTATGAGGGGCAGAAGGGGAGCATCCTGCTCCATATCATTAAGTGGCTTTTCTCTCCCACACTGGACCAACCAGACCCTGTTCATCCCAGCAATTAAAGAAGACAGAGACTGCAAATTGCCATAGAGTCAGAGAGGTCTACAGCAAAGAAAAAGGTGCGTGGAGTCTGCACTGGGTAAAAACAACCACCTAACTGTTTGTAATCCCATGTTTAACTGCACACATATCACTTCCTTCCACCCCAACCAACTCCCTCTTCCCCTGACCCCACTGAACTACTGCTGTTAAAAGCACGACAGAAAGCTTGGCCTGACTCACTGAGCATCAATTTCACAAGTTGAGCCCGCAAGGGAACTGTGCCAGTTATTTCAGTCACAATGACTATGCTGTAGCCAAATGCTCAGGATGTTCCATCTGACTGAGAGTCCATTACCTTGATTTATTCCCTGTTCATGGAAACCTACTGTCGATCATAGCACATCACAGTGTCCAGCGTCTTCTCCTCTTCATTCACTTCCTTCCCACCAATGACATAGATGGCATTATCAGCTTCACCCAGACCAAAGAGGCAGCGTGGAGATGGTACGGCTGGCATTCCTAGCCAGTCAGAGTCCAGGGGATCAAACTATTCACAGGTCAAGACAAAATATTAGAAAGAAACAGCAAACATGAAGTCATACAGCACAAGGCACCAGCATTCAAAATAACTTGCATCCACTAAGTTAGCACTGAAACGCAATCAGTCTTTTCTGATCAAACATTTCAGCCCAGAGAAGCAAGCAATTCAGGAGAACCATCTGTGCACCTAGAGTACAGAGAATGTGGCAACTGCTACCACTGGGAATGGTTAAGATGGACAGCAACAATATTGTTACAGTATATTCATCAACAGCCCCCAGAAACTCCTCATTAACAGATTAACACACTGGCTTCCCGTTTACATTGTGCCCCTGAGCTAAAAGGATACACATCCTCCCCCAAAACCCTATCCCTCAAACCCCTCAGCCCCTCTCCTATCCCAATGGTTCCTTCATCTATTTTCTTCATCTTTCAGTTCTCTCATCCTGCCTTCTTATGTCTCAGGCAGATACCACAACTCTTGTTTTCCAATTTACAATTCATTTAAGACCATAAGACATAGGCGCAGAAATTAGGCTATTTGGCCCATTGAGTCTACTCTGTCATTCAATCATGGCTGATAAGTTCCTCAACCCCATTCTCCTGCTTTCTCCCCGTAACCCTTAATTCCCCTTGATAAAATTTGTTTGTTTTTCTTTGTAATAGATAGCTAAATAGCATTCCAGTTGCCAACCATCCTTTTCTAATTACATATTTTCCCCTTCTGGGAAGAGTCTAAAATCAGAGGGTATAATGTCAGAATAAGGGGTCACAGATTTAAGACAGAGATGAGGAGGAATTTCTTCTGAGGGTAGTGAACCTGTGGCATTCTTTATGGCAGTGGGATGTGGAGGCTGGGTCACTAAGTATATCCAAGGCTGAGAGACTTTTAATCAGTGAAGGAATCCAGGGTTATGGGGAAAAGACGGGAAAGTGGAGTTAAGGATTATCAAATCAGCCATGATCACAGTGAATGGGAGCAGACTTGATAGGCTGAATGGAGCAGAAGTGGGCCAATGTCTTATATCGTCCACTTTGGTGTGCAGGCTTGAGTTGATGCAGTCTATGTGGTTTAGGTACATCCACCATACTGTAAGGTAGGAAGCTGCAGGATTTTGACCCAGTGACAGTAAAGGAATTCTGATACATTTCCAAGTCAGGATGGTGAGGTGTTCCATGTATCTGCTGCCCTTGCCCTTCTAGATGGAGGTGGTGGTGGTGAGTTTGGAGTTTCCATTGTAAATATAGATGTTCCAAAGACCACCACTCCTCCCCGCCCCAATGCCTCTACATTAAACAGCAGGGACAGAGGGGCTGGAGGGCTGTAACTCACCTGCAGGAAGTAGGAGTGCAATGGGTTCTCCTTACTACCGTCGTCGTAGTAGAGACCTCCTGCTACAAAGACCTGGTTCTGCTTGGTCACCACGCTGGAGTGGTTCTTGGGGATCTTCGAGGAGACCGAGGCAAAGTAGCACTCGTTGGTGGTGGGGTCGTAGGCCACCGTGGCCTCGTCGTTGATCATGAAGATGAGGTCCTTGACGAACATGCCGAACCTGGGGGTTTTATTCAAGATGCTGGGGGGCTGCTCCTCTTTGGCCTCTTGGTTGCCAGGGGAGGGGGCCTGGTCCTTCTTGTTGGGAGTCTTCTTGGCCTCTTCCTCCTCCTCCTCCTCCTCCTCCTCCACCCCTTCCTCCTCCCTCCTGTGGGCATCTCTGACCTGCTGGATCTTCTGGAGGAGCTCAGGGCTGGAGCTGAGCAGGGGGTAGGCCTGGACTTGCTGCTCCAGGTAGCGGCGGGGCATGAGGAGGAAGCGGACACAGTCCAGGAGCTGGGGCAGGGCCTTGAGGGGAGCGGCCTGGCTGGAGGCCCAGGCCATCACCGCCTCGAAGACCAGCTCCTCCCGCTCGACGTTGAGGGAGTCGCTGGAGATGATGGCGGTCAGCTCGGCGGCGCTGAGGCCCAGGAAGTCGGGGTCCTTGCTCACCAGCGGGAAGTGCTCGCACGCCAGGTCCCGGGCGGCGACGGCCAGGCGCGGGCAGTCGAGCATCAGGCCGAGCCTGAAGACGGCCAGGCAGTTACTGAGGCCCAGCCGCTGGTGCAGGAACGACACGCAGACGGTGAAGACGGACGGGATCTGCAGCAGGCTGGCGGCCGCCAGCACCTCCTTCACGTTGGCGTCGCTGAGCGACAGCTCGGAGCTGTACAGGTAACGCAGCAAGGCCTCAACCAGATCAGGCTCCAGCTCCTCATCGTCCAGCACCAGCTCCCTCCTCGGGCCTTGTCCGGGGCCGGGGCCTGGGCCTGCTCCCGGGCCTTGTCCGGGGCCTGGGCCTGCTCCCGGGCCCGCCTCCGCCAGCAGCCTCGCTCGGAAGTACGGGCTGCAGGCCGCCAGCACCAGGCTGTGACACGGCAGCTCCCGGCCCTTCACCTTGAGCACACAGTCCACCAGCTTACCGCTCTCCAGCAGGTCCCTCAGCCCCTCCTGCAGCAGAGTCTGCTGGTAAATGCGAGGCTCCTCTGCCGGGTCGATGGGGATCGCCATGGCTCTGTCTTTCTCTCTCTGTGTCTGTCTGTGTGTGTTAGGATTGATGGCTGGCCCCCGGCTGTCCCCGCTCTCCACATTCCTCTCGGGTTTATAGATAGCACAGAGCTCGGGAATGCACTGAGGGAGGGAGGCTTTGGAGATGAAGCCATCCTCAGCAGAGGCACATGTCAGTCAGACACTTAACAACTGGCTGCAACACTCTTGTCCAAAAGGCATGAATCATCCTCCAGTCTTAGATTGTACCTCAGGATCAAGGATTGTTCTTTGTCTCTCTCTTCACCCTCACCCCCAGCATTATTTTGTGCCTCTCTACTAAATGCATAAGAGGTTTTCGTTTTGTGCCGCACTCCTGCCCTTTTCCCCCATAGCCCTGCATATTGTTTATATTACCCGGTATGATGGTGGCAGAGTAGGACACTCAGGTCAGAGCTTCTCTGCTCCGACTGTTCTTTTTTTTTCCCTCCCTTCTCTCAGACTCGGATACCCCAGGCCCAGCCTCTAAAGCAGGGTAAGCAGAGACACCAGGGGCTGGAGCAGGGCTGCCAGCAACCAGCGACCCAGTTCAGAGTGTGGCAGTGGCGGCCCGATGTGGCGCGTGGCAGCTGCCAGTAGTCAGACTGTGTGGAGGCCCCCTGCTTTGATCTGCTAAGGAGAGACTTTGGAGAGAGACTGATATGTTTGTCTTTTTAACCTTGCTGCTTGTTTATCTGACCTATAGTCATACTGTGTATAGCTGTAACGTAACTTGATTTTTTCTTCATTTCTGTATTCTGTAACTAGGGATTGTACCTAGGTACCTTTGTACCTAAGATGGCACTGCAAGTGATGACATATAGCTTTTCACTGTAGTCGTTTGAGTACATGTGACAATAAAGCTAATTCAGTTCAATTCAAGTAATCTCTTATGCCCTTTCAAATGCCTCAGTTGAACCTGCCTCCCCGACACATCCCAGGCAGTGTGTTCTAAACCCAGAACACTTTATTCACACTCACATTTTACTTCTTTTGAAATTTGTGCCCTTTGGTTCTCAATCATCTTAGATGTGGAAACATTAGATCTTTATCTACTCTGTCCAAAGATCTTGGGTAATGTACCAAAGGGATTCTATGTTTCAATGATCCCATGATTTTGAAAACTTCTTTTTAAAACAGATTTTCTCTGAACCTTCTCTCTCCAAGAAAAACAGTCACAATGTCTCAAATCTGTCCTCAAAACTGAAGTGTATCATTCCTGGAACCATTCTTATAAATCTTTTCTGCACTCTCTCCACTCCATTCACATCCCTCCTTAAATGGGATGCCCAGAACTGTACATAGTTACTCCAGTTGAGGTCTATCCGGTGTCCTAAATAGGTCCTTGTTCTCTATATTCCTGTTAATGAAGCTTAGAATACTGTATACTTTATTAATAGCTCTGTCTCCCTGTTCTGCCACCTTTAATGACTTATGCACATATACACCCAGGTGTTCCTATACCCCATTTAGGGTCACACCTGTCTGTTATACTGAATCTCTCTGTCCTTCCTGCAGATATGATCACCTCTCAATTCTCCAAATCAAATTTCATCTGCCACCTATCTCCCCACTCCACCAACTTGTCAACAATGCACAACAATGTCTCTACTTCTTCAGGAGGCTAAGGACTCTTATCAGTTTTTACAGATGCACCATAGAAAGCGTTCTAGCTGGATGCATCACAGCGTGGGAAGAGCAGTTGCCAAACCAAGACCACAAGAAAGTATAGAGAGTCGTGGACGCAGCCTGGTCCATCACATAAACCATCCTTCCATCCATTGACTTCATCTATACTTACCACTGCCTGACTTCATCCACTGCCTCAGGAAAGCAACTAATATCATTAAAGACCTCTCCCACCCTGGTTATACTCTCTTCTGCCCTCTCTGTAGGGCAGAAGATATAAAGGTTTGTATAAGGATATGAACAGATTCAAGAACAGCTTTTTCTCCGCTGTTCTTCTGAATGGACCTCTCTGCCTCTGTAACACTGTATTCTTCACTTTGTTCTATTACCCTAATGTATTTTGAATGGTATGATATTGCCTATTGTGCATGCAAAACAAAACATTTCACTGTACCTAGGTATATGTTACAATAACATGTCAAATCAAATCAACTTGTCTATATCCTTTTGAAGTTCTGCACTATCCTCACAGTTTTCAATGCTCCCAGTTTTTGTATCATCTGCAAACTTTAAAATGTCTACCAAGTTACATGTCAGCTATATATGTATGTAGGAAAAACATGCATCCCAATACCAAATCCTAGGGACCTTGCTACAAAACTACCAATTAATCATTTCATTCTGTTTCCTATATCTCATCCAATTTATATCCACATTGCTCCAGAGCCTTTTATTCAAATGAGTTGTAATTTTTCTCACAAGTCTGTTGTGGCATTGTGCTGAATACCTTCTGAAAATCGACGTACACCACATCAACAGCATTATCCTCAACAAACCCGGCCCCCCACCAACCCCCTGTTATCAAAAAAGTCTCCAGCAAGGTAGTTAAAAATGACTTTCCTTCAACAAAACCATGCTGGATTTCCAAATTATCCCATATTTTTCCATATGACCATTAATTCTAACTAAAGTAACCAGAGGTTTCCCCAAAACTGACATTAAACTGACTGGTCTATAATCGCAGGGCTTACCTTTACAAACTTTTTTGAACAAAGCCATTACATTTGCAATTCTTCAGTCCTCTGGCACCATTGTCGGAACCAGAGAGGATGAAAAGATTATGGCCAGTGCCTCCTTGAATATCCTTAGCTGAATCCAATCTGCTCCTGGTGTCTTGTCTACTTCAGGTACTGTCCAAGATAGCCTCCTTATCAAATTTGAATCTTTTTAGTGGCTGATTTTTCTCCTCTGTCACCATGGACTGGGCAGCTTCTGCCTCCTTGGCAAAGACAAAATATTAATTTAACACATCTGTCATATCCCTTGCCTCTTTGTGTAAATCCCTTAATGACCCCTAATCAACCTCACTCCTCCTTTTACCATTCATTTACTATTGATCTTCCAAGAGTAGACTTTAGGATTTTCCTTTATGTGAAAGATCTTTTTGTAACCCCTCTTTGTTTCTCTTATTATTACTCCCTCACCTCCCTTCTGGACCTTCAGCTTGAATGTAGGGTGGCATACTGGCTCAGTGGTTAGCACTGCTGCCTCACAACGTCAGAGACCCAGGTTCGATTCCACCCTTAGGCGACTGTCTGTGTGGAGTTTGCACATTCTCCCTGTATCTGCGTGGGTTTCCTCCGGGTGTACCGGTCTTATCCCACAGTCCAAAGATGTGCAGGATAGGTGAATTGACCATGCTAAATTGCCCAGGGATATGTAGGTTAGGTGGATTGACCATACTAAATTGCCCATATTGCCCAGGGATATGTAGGTTAGGTGAATTACTCAGGGGAATTGCAGGATTACAGGGAATAAGGTTGGGGGGGATGGGTCTAAGTGGGATACTCTTCAGAGGATCAGTGTGGACTGAAACGGATGAATGCTTCCGCATTGTAGGGATTCTATGATTTAGAACCTGACGCCTGTCCTTCATTTTCTGATGACGGGTCTAGGCCCAAAACGTCAGCCTTTCTGCTCCTATGATGCTGCTTGGCCTGCTGTGTTTATCCAGCTCTGCACCTTGTTGTCTCAGATTCTCCAGCATCTGCAGTTCCTACTATCTCCGCCTGTCCTAAGAACATTTTTTTTCTTCTTTAATATCTCCTTCATCATCCAGAGACATCTGAATTTGCTCAGCCTTTCCTTTTTGAGGGAATATACCTTGACTGCACCTGTACCATCTGTATCCCCATTGTTCTGTGACTGTTTCTCCCCCACAACATTTGGTTCCTGTCTTTTGGCCCAGCTTTGCTCATCCCCCATTGAGGGCTACTCTCTGCCAGTTGATTATTCTTGCTCTAGGTTGTTCATTGTCATTCTCCATTCACATCTTAAACCTTAGGACACAATAATCACTGTCCAAACGTAATGATCAGTCTGTGGATGTGTGTGGGAGAATGATGTTTGAGAGGACAGAGGAGGGGAGTTTAGGGGAGGGTTCCATTTATGATGAACATTGTTGCATTCAGTTGAGCGTCTACAAAATTTGTGTGTATTTGCCAGACAGGCACAGAATACACTGTTGCGGAGGACAAGTGCTGAGGCCTAGAATGTTGTGGCAGCAGTACCCAATGAAGATCAGGGGCAGTTTGATGAACAGGCTGGTTTCTGGTTCTGATCTTTGCTGTTTTCTTCGATGTTCCAGGAAAGACAAAGTCCTGTTGAGAGTCAGTCCCAAGTATGATACAGTGTCCTGCTCCTAAAACTGCTCAGAGTGCTTCCAAACTGGTTTGGGACAGTTTGAAAACATTCCTTCACAATAGCTGCATTAGAGATCACCTTGGACACTGAAGAAAACTGTCAATTAGACCACCACAAGACTCAGCCCTAGCCTCAACGCTGTTCGACATGGATGTAAATGACCTAGCAACACCCACAGCTTCATCTGTGTTGATGACATCTACTGTCACACCCAAGCTCCCTCCTTCGGCATTCTGAACCTTAATGATAATGCTACAAAGATGGTGGTGTCTCAAGTTGTATCCCTCCGAAACCATATCCAGCATATTCCACTCAAGTAAAAGCAAAAGTCTAAATAAAAAGGCAAAAAACTGCCAATGCTGGATTTCTGAAACAAACTCACAAATTGCTGGAGAAACTCAGCAGGTCTGGCAGCATCTGTAGGGAGAGAAAGTTAACATTTTGAGTCGGGTATGACTTCTTCTTCCTCCATCAACTCTGTTTCTCTCCACCGAGGCTGCTGAGTTTCTCCAATGTTCTGTGTTTGCTCCAGCCTATTCCACCTCCACAGTGCCATTCCAGATGGATAGAATTTCCATATCTGTGTGTGTATGCGCACAGATGGTCAGAGGTTAAAGCGTGATCCCAACCCAACATACCAGGAAGTGACAGTAGTGAGGATTGAGGATGACTTGCTCCCACTCCTGTTTGGTGGGTTCTGCAGTCCAATGCATTTTTGGCAGACTCTACTACGTATGGGGCAGATCATGCTGGAAGAGTTGGGTAAATGGGTCATTTGGAGGTTTGTCTATTCCCTCTGAGGCCTTTCACTTCACCTCAGCACTTTTGAGATGAAATCTACCACAGGGT